GTGTATCTCTGGTGCAAATTACTGACCTCTGTCATCATTTTAAGTGGGGGAACTTGCACAATCGGTGGCTGACTAAATGCTTTTTTGCCCCACTGTATTACTGGAACATCTAGAGAGCTGGGCCAGAGTCTCAGGTACAGCACTCGACTGGTTCAAGTCCTACCTTAAGAACGGGAACGTCTATGTGTCAATTAGCCAATTTTCATCACAAAATATAGACATCACATGCGGGGTCCCCTCTTATTTAGCATTTACATGCTCCCGTTAAGCCAGATTATAACCACCAATAATATTATGCACAATTATGTAGACGATACTTAACTTTATATCTCAATGTCACCAGGTCATATTGAACCTATCCAAACTCTTAATAAATGCATTGAGCCAATTAATTACTGGATGTCTCATAATTTCCTTCAACTGAACAATAACAAAACTGAAGTACTTATCTTTGGACCCAAAAAAGATCGATTAAATATCAGTAATCAGCTCAAACTGGTCCAACTAGAAACTACCGACCAGGCCAGAAATGTAGGTGTAATAATGGACTCAGACCTGAACCTCCAGGGCCACATAAAAGTTATAACAAAGTCAGCCTTCTATCACCTGAGGAACATTTCTAGGACTAAAGGACTTATGACACAAGGAGACCTAGAAAAACTCATATATGCATTTATCTCTAGCTGCCTTGATTACTGTAACACAGTTTTACCCAAAAAATCAATTAGACAACTGCAGCTGATTCAGAACGCTGCTGCTCGTGTTCTCACTAGAACCAAGAAAATAGAGCACATTACTCTAGTTTTAAAGTCATTACACTGGCTCCCTGTAGCTCAGAGAATAGACTTTAAAGTGCTTTTATTAGTTTATAAATCCTTGAATGGGTTAACACCAGAGTGCATTAGGATTCTGCTATCATGGTACAAACCATCCAGATCAGTTAGGTCCTCCAGATCTCCTCTATCAACCGTCCCTAGAACCAGAATTAAACATGGAGATGCAGCTTTTAGTTTCTATGCTCCTCACATCTGGAATACACTATCAGGAGAATGCAAAGCTGCAGAGACACTGAACTCTTTTAAGTCTAAAATTAAAACTTACGTATTTAGACTTGCTTATGAGTAACTGATCCTATTATGGCTCTCTATTTGCGAATGCTTTCTTGTAAATGTTTTCTTGTATTTTACTTTTATAGTGTTTTGTTTTATCTTTTATGTTTTATTTTAATCATGTAAAGCACCTTGAATTGCCTTGTGCTGAAAGTATGCTATACAAAAAAAATTGCCTTACCTTGCCTTGCCTTCCCTTAAGATAGGAAAAAAGTAGTAAACATGATTTGAATTCCTATATTGTAGACTGAATTATGGATCAACTTGTGTAATGAGGGGTCTCCAGATGTGACACAGACTGTGGACAGAGAGATCACTGACAGCAGTAATACCTCAGATATATTCCATCAGGGCCAAATTAGCAGCACAGAGGGAGTGTGGATCGGCCCTGATCTCAGTACTGCTGAAATTAACATCCAGGTTAAAGATGACATGAAAATTTGGGGTCTCTGGATCAATGGGAAATACTGCTGTGAGTCAAACAGGTCCAAGAAGGAAAGTGAAGGGAAAGACGAAGTCTGGAGATGAGCGAACAAAAACCCTGATTGCAAAGCTGGTGTGAAGATTGTTCAAAGTCACACTGTGTCCAGACTACATTCTTATCAGCTGTTTCATGTGTTTGAGTGAATCTGTGACTGAACTGTAATAGTGTTCAAAAGTAAATGTGAGGAGGAAATAAATGAAAACAAAGTGTGATTAATGATGAAGAATGAGAAGAAGCTGAGACTCAGCTGTCATGCTGCTAATGTTTCTCAGGACCAGCTGTACATGTTGCATTTACCGTAAAGAAACTGGAAATCTGTGTGGAGCTGAGCCAGGGGATTTCTGAGGATCAGCAATAATCTCGTGCAGCATAAACTCAACCATGTTTTAATATGTGTTGATATAGATGTGACTGGATCATATTCTGACTTTAGATATCCAAATATGGTTGACTTTAAACAACAGGATTATCTTGCTGATTAAAGTCCTTTAAGATGGCGCAGGTGAGGTCGGCTGCCGTGCTGGATGCTCTGCCCCAACTTTTTCACTTTTTTTCTTTTTTCGTCACTTTTTGCTATATCTGCCATAATTTTGCATGGGCATCATGCAAAACACACAAATTCAGTAGAGACACCCTGGTTTCTATTGGTCTACAATACACAAACATTTCACCATGGAGATCCTGAGAAAGAACAAAGGACGCAACCCTAAGCGACGGCCTCGAGGGAAACGAGCCGGCATCAGGAACAGGCTACGGGCTCACGCACACCGCGCACCCATGCCCAGTATCCTGCTAGCCAATGTTCAATCCATCGAGAACAAGCTTGATGACCTCAGAGCCAGAATTAAGTTCCAGAGAGACATTCGGGACTGCAACCTCCTCTGCTTCACCGAGACTTGGCTGAACCCAGCAATACCAGACCACGCTGTGCAGCCGGCGGGGTTCTTTTCGGTTTACCACATGGACAGGACAATGGAGTCTGGGAGGAATGCCCAGACCTCTATGTTGGAGAGACCAAACAGCCACTTCATAAGCGCATGGCACAACATAGAAGAGCCACGTCCACAGGACAAGACTCAGCAGTCCATCTGCATCTTAAGGATAAAGGACACTCTTTCGAGGATGCCAATGTTCACATTTTGGACAAAGAGGACAGATGGTTTGAAAGAGGAGTGAAAGAAGCCATCTATGTCCACTGTGAGCGACCATCTTTGAACAGAGGCGGGGGTCTACAACACCAACTCTCTGCCATCTATAATCCAGTTTTGAGATCCCTTCCCAGACGCCTTAACGCCCACTCACATCCTGGGCCATCTGACCTCAGGAATTCGCATGATAAGGTGGGGCCAGGTTTCACAATGAACCCACCCGAAACTCTGGCTGATTGGAGCCCACACCCAGTTTCACACCTTGGCTCAGGCGATTAGAGGATCATCAGGGGGTCCTTTTGTCCCTCTGTGGGGGGTTACTCCCACTAGGTTTATATCTGGGACTCTCCACCATTTGACCTTAGAACTGAAGAAGCTTCTCGGATGAGAGGTGAAACGTCTTCAAGCAACTTAAAGAAGTCCAGACGCTTTTCTTTGCAAGCTCCTTTGACTACGATGACCTGGATGACTGAGAACCTTCACAGACTTTATACAGGATATGTCCTTCAATGCACATATTAAACACATATGTAAGACTGCTTTCTTCCATTTGCACAATATCTCTGAAATTCAAAATATCCGGTCTCAGAGTGACATAGTGATTCACAAATCATGAACGAATCGTTCACTGCTCGAGAATCACTTTACTGACTCATGAATCATGATTGACAAGCCCAACTGACTCACTGACTCATCCCTGTTGCTGTTAGCAAACTAATTCCATTATTAGAAATATATCTACCTTATAATTAAAATTGTGGGGAAAATACCAACAGCCAGTTTTTTAACAAAAACATTTCTGCCCTGAACTGGAAGAAAAAACCCTGTGCACACATCAAGACAATAGCTGCTTTCTCTGCTAACATGCTCACAGCACATTTTAGCTACTCACCCCCTCCCTCCTGTGCTGAATCATAGCATAAACGAATCACTTATTATTACTTATTTTTCCTAGAGTAAAAGTAGAATGGAAGGCAGAGCCTCCAGTTTGCAGAGCTCTCATCTATTGAATCAGCTTCCAGTTTGATACAGGAGACGGACATTATATCTACTTTTAAGATTAGGCATTTTGCAAAAGCATTTAAATTAGGGTTGGATTAGGTGACCCTTAATCTTCCCTTAATTATGCTGCACTAGGTGTGGGCTGCTGGGAGATTCCCATGATGTGCTATTTCGTCTTCAGTCACCTTTCTGTCTCACAATTTGTTAATAGACCTCTCTGCAGGGAATCACACTTGTTATTATTTCTGTGGCTCTCTTCCACCACGTGTATTTTGTCCTGTCTTCCTTCTTTTACACCAGCTGGTCACGGTAGATGGCCGCCCCTCCCTGAGCCTGGTTCTGCTGGAGATTTCTAGCTGTTAAAAGGGAGTTTTTCCTTCTTGCTGGCATCAAAGTACTTGCTCATAGGGGGTCATCAGAATCAGAATCAGAATACTTTATTGATCCCTGGGGGAAATTATTTTTGTTGCAGTGCTCCATTTTAAACCAACATTAAGACAAGACAGACAATACACTAACTAAGAAAAGTACAATAAGAATAGTCATACGACTGTTTTTCTTTTTATGTATTATTTTAGGGTCTATCTTACAATATAAAGTGTTTTAAGCTGACTGTTTTTGTGGCACTTAATAAATACGATTGAATAAACTGAATTATGAAACACTGAATGATTCCAAGCACTTTTTCTAATAAACTTACAGCCTTCATTCTTTATACAGATTGGGGAGTTGTGGTTTGTCAAATATCAGCTGTGATTATCTGGCAGCAGCACTGAAGTCCAACCCCTCCCATCTGAGAGAGCTGGACCTGAGTAACAACAGCCTGCAAGATTCAGGAGTGGAACAGCTGTGTGGTTTTCTGGAGAGTCCAGGATGTGGACTTGAAACTCTGAGGTCAGTCTCCATGTTTTAGTTGTGGTAAGATGAATATGATGTGAAAGTTGTGCTGACACTGAACTGCAGACATAAGACTGATATTATACTGATTCACACTGAGGATCTTCATAGTAAAGACTTCTCTGGTTTAGTCCATTGACTGTAGCAGAAAAATGTTCACATTACAACCCTTAAAAGAAGAAGAAAATTTTCCACTGGATAATTAGCTGTAAAACTCTACTACTCTCCATTCCACCTTAATATTTGGTGGACTGACACTGAAATAAAAACCAAATGGCCATTTGCTTTACAAACAGCAGTCCAACATAAAACATACACACATCATACAAAACACAGTCCGACATCCAAATCTCCAACACTGCCAGCATGAATTATGGGTAAAGGAAAGGAGTAACACTCTGATATTCAGGGTTAGAATGACTTTCATAAACCAAACTATGAAGATCAAAGCTGCATTCGATAGCTTATATGAATGAATGAGTGGACAACAGTGGACAGAGATCATTTTCCCAACCTACAGCCTTCTTTTTTCTTTCTTTGAAATTCCTAGGTGTTATGGTCCTGGGTCTGTGACCCAGTGTTTTTGTTTTTTGTACTTTTACTTTTGATTTCATCCTGGATTGTGACTATTGTGTTTAGGTTTATTTCCTAGTTTTTCTAGCTCCCTAGTTTTGTGGTACTTCCTGAGTTCAGATTTTTAGGTTTTGTTATTTGATTTCCGAGTGTAAATTCTGTGCTCCCTCTGTTCTGTGTCTTCCTTGCCTGTGTATCCTTTCTAGTGTAGTCAGGTCTCTATGTAAAGCCAGCTCCTGTGTGTCATTTCCTCGTTCCCATCAGTGTATTTTTAGTGTGTGTTCTCTCATGTTTGTCACTGGTCCGTCTGTGTTTCTTCCCTGCGCTTTCTACCGGAGTCTTCCGTTCAGGTTCGCTTTGTTAGTCATTCCGAGTTTAGGTCACCTTTAGGTTTTTTTTACTTGCTGTATTTCTGTTTGTGCCACCAAAGTGTAAATAAAGCTCGCTCACATCCAAGCCAGCGTCTGGTTCCCCTCTCACACTCACCACACATCTGCCACCATCACATTCATCTTTTGTCCTTGTTCTGCATCCCCATCATGGACTTCA